GATACCCCCTGTAGTAAAACATGAACTGGGTAGGAAGGAAATGAACTAAAATATTTGAGTGACACTGATTAAAAAGTAATAGAGCAAACATTTGGAGAAATTTACGAAAACGTTAAGGAAAAATTTAACAGTACATGAATGAAAAATATGATGTCCGGAAAAAAATTTTAATTAGAAATATTAATTAGTGGCTGAAATGTTGTCGGAAAATACGAAACTCCCCCCGCGCCCCCTTTTGTTTTAGCTTCTTCGCGACGGCATTGCACTTGGTTAGGATTATATTTGATTATATATGGTTATACATTCAAAATTTCTAACTTTTGGTATGTTTCTAGCGTCATCAGAGTGAGAAAATTTTATTACATGATTGTGTAGTCTTGTATATCATAATGGAAAAATGTAGTTTTACGTTCCTCAAGCCAGACTTTAAGAGGTAATTTCAGTTTTCTTTGTTGCGTATTTCCGATGAAAGCGTTCAAAACCTAAAATGTTTTTGTGTTAAAGGCTTGTATTGGTCTGTAGTAATTGTATATGTAAGGCAGTAATCATGAAAGTTGTCGGCGCACTGCATGGGAACAGGTTTCAAACAATTGCAACGTATGACATTTTAAGCTGCAATATAAATGAAAAACATACTAAACGAAGAAAGCGTTTCATGTTGTTGCTACATGAAACTGAATTGGTTAAACGATGATGAATTTCCTTGAAGTATACCTCCATATTTTTTCCACAAATGTTACACCGTGGTGGCTGTCTTGGTTCTTCTCGTGGAGGGTTTTCAAGGGGAGTGGATGGTTGTGGAAGAAGAGATCTAGTAGATCTGAGCGCTCTGTCGTCTAGTACGGGCAATGGTGATTCTCTCTGATTTGCCTGCGGTTTACTCGTTTGTGGATCTCGTGGTCGATGTGCAGATGGATGAGACAGATCTGGGTCACGAGACCGTGCTTCCATATATCTTTCGTTGTTTTGCGTTGCGCCTTCTGTGTCGGAGACCACGACATTGCCATTTTCTGTACTGTGTACGCTCGTCTCTTGTCGTAGTGGGTGGTTGTTTTTCGTACAGCGGTAACACCATGCGGGCCATTCGTGTGAAGCATGGTCACGGTCGTTATGAAACTGATTCAGGGTGCGATGAATGTGCCTCTCATGTCGTTCCAACAAGTTAAAGTTACCTTAAAGAATAAAGTATAGAAAAATGTATTTGTAAAATTTAACATCATGTATTGTTAACACACAAACTTCGACTGATAGAGATACAACTGCAAAAAAAATACAAGAACTCCGACGTTTCTACTAACTTTCGGACGAAGGGCCTTCGTTCGAAACGTCGAAGTTCTTGTATTTTTCAGGTCAAGTTGCATCCCTAACAGTTTGACGTTTTGTTATTATTCGCACTACCTACACTACACAGACCGTTCATAAAAACTTGAAACAAAGCACGCAAATTGAGAAATCTAAGGCTAAACTGATGCTTTAGCCGATATGAAGATTATTGGATATTTGAAAGAAATAGGACGCTTATTAAGATTTTAATCAGCCTAACTTTATTGAAGTACCCCCATCTATAGACCCTCATTACACTGTGTAATGAGGGTCTATAGATGGGGGTACTTCAATAAAGTTAGGCTGATTAAAATCTTAATAAGCGTCCTATTTCTTTCAAATATCCAATAATCTTCATATCGGCTAAAGCATCAGCTTAGCCTTAGATTTCTCAATTTACACATACCGATTTGCTCGTAAAAGGTTACGGGAGGATATCCGAGAATTGAACTTGTGGCGAGTCTAGATAGCGATTTTTTGGCTCCACAATTATTTTACCTGCCATGGTTTGTTGTAAAATTTCTAGGACATCGTCTCTTCGTGTATGAGTTAGAATATTTTCCACATGTTGTAGAGCGTTGTAGTTCAGACGACCATCAGTGATAACATGATCAAGTGGCGGTAAATTTTCATTCACAAGACAGTTTATCACGAGGATAAGTCTTCCTATCACTGCAAGTGGAATCGACATTCTAAACTGAAGAAAAGGCAGTGCAACTAATGAGTGAAAATTGGTTCAGGATATGTTGTCACCAGCCTAGTCCCAGGCACTCTTTCTCTCTCTCTTCGCCGTTATATAATTAGCTTTAATCTTTAATTTCTGGAGATAACTGGCTGGGGTGACTCCGTAATTGTTGAGCGGTGACGACACAACTAGGTTTTAGTGTCATCCATTATACGCGCGGCCCTAAGGCTCAGGATTCGAGTTGTACATGTTTCAGACCGACAAGGACTAGACTGGTTGTTAGCCATACCAGGGCCTTTTTTAAGGATTTTCCCGTGGGGGGGCATTTTTTAAAAAGGGACCTTTCTGTGAGATAATATTTTAGAGGGGGATACCAATGGCTGAAAGCCACGTGTGTGGCAAATATACGACGCATGAATGGGGGGTCTGGGGGTGTACTCCCCCAGAAAATTTTTGAAATTTGACTCCCGGAAATGTCATTTCCTGCATTCTGAGCATCCAAATTTGCTCCAAAATTTATCCTAACTGGCTAACCATACTTGTATT